CCAGGGGCGTCCAGCATCTGTCCACTAGTGGCTTGCCTTCTTCAGGGCGAGCTCCCCGCCCGCCCCGCGCCCTGGCCGTGCCCGAGGGGAAGAGGGCCCCCGAAGTCAACCGCGTCAAGTCGACGAAGGGGGGCCCACGGGCGTCCAGCATCTGTCCACTAGTGGCTTGTTTTCTTCAGGGCGAGCTCCCCGCCCGCCCCGCGCCCTGTCCGTGCCCGAGGGGAAGAGGGCCCCCGAAGTCAACCGCGTCAAGTCGACGAAAAAGAAAAGGGGGCCCAGGGGCGTCCCGCATCTGTCCACTAGTGGCTGCCTTGGTCAGGGCGACTCCGCCCGCCCCGCGGCCCTGTCCGTGGCCCGAGGGGGAAGAGGGCCCCCGAAGTCAACCGCGTCAAGTCGACGAAGGGGGGCCCAGGGGCGTCCAGCATCTGTCCACTAGTGGCCTGTCTTCTTCAGGGCGAGCTCCCCGCCCGCCCCGCGCCCTGGCCGTGCCCGAGGGGGAGAGAGGGCCCCCTTAGTCAACCGCGCCAGGGCGATGGAGGGGTGCCCAGGGGCGTCTAGCATCTGTCCACTAGTGGCTTGTCTTCTTCAGGGCGAGCTCCCCGCCCGCCCCGCGCCCTGTCCGTGCCCAAGGGGAAGAGGGCCCCCGAAGTCAACCGCGTCAAGTCGACGAAGGGGGGCCCAGGGGCGTCCAGCATCTGTCCACTAGTGGCTTGCCTTCTTCAGGGCGAGCTCCCCGCCCGCCCCGCGCCCTGTCCGTGCCCGAGGGGAAGTGGGCCCCCGAAGTCAACCGCGTCAAGTCGACGAAGGGGGGCCCAGGGGCGTCCAGCATCTGTCCACTAGTGGCTTGCCTTCTTCAGGGCGAGCTCCCCGCCCGCCCCGCGCCCTGGCCGTGCCCGAGGGGAAGCGGGCCCCCGAAGTCAACCGCGTCAAGTCGACGAAGGGGGGCCCAGGGGCGTCCAGCATCTGTCCACTAGTGGCTTGTCTTCTTCAGGGCGAGCTCCCCGCCCGCCCCGCGCCCTGGCCGTGCCCGAGGGGGAGAGAGGGCCCCCTTAGTCAACCGCGCCAGGGCGATGGAGGGGGGCCCAGGGGTGTCCAGCATCTGTCCACTAGTGGCTTGTTGTCTTCAGGGTGATCTGCCCGGTTTCCCCTCGTCCTGTCCGTGCCCGAGTGGGAGAGAGGGCACCCGAATGCAACCGCGTCAAGTCGATGAAGTGGGCTGGAGGCGTCGAGCATCTAGTCCTTCGTGGCCCTTTTTCCCTCATGACGATCTCCCCGCTCTCCCCGTGCCCTGTCAATGCCGCATCCTGGCCTCTTCGGCCCATCCTTGGCCGCTTTCCTTGGCCGCGCCCCGCCTCGAAAGTTTCGAAATGGTCTTCCAAGGCCCTTGTATCCTCATCGTGCGTCCTTCTTCTACGGTTGACTGTACAGTACAGACGCCATGCGCCAGCCCTGGGCACAGCGCTTGAGCACCACTGTCGTCGCTGAGCGGGGTCTCCGGCGGGACGCGTGGGCAGAAAGTAGCAGCAGGTCGGCTGCGAAGCAGCGCTGAACACACACACGCACAGAGGGCGCCCGAGCGTGAAGCAGAACGAACAAAAGCGCCCGACCGAATGCAACAAGAACCCACCAAACCGAATTCGGCTCTAGTGAGTCAAGTCGATGAGGAGGCCACGTTTGGTCGCCCCCCCACTTCGGTGGGGTCGGTGCAAGCAGGGGGAGGAGGAGGAGGAGGAGGAGGAGGAGGAGGAGGAGGAGGAGGAGGAGGAGGAGGAGGAGGAGGGCCAGGAGGAGGAGGAGGAGGAGGAGGAGGAGGAGCAGGAGCAGGAGCAGGAGCAGGAGGAGGAGCAGGAGGATGATCCGCTGTTCTTTGGTGTGGCCACGGCCTCCGTTCTCTCTGTGCTGCTGCCCTTCGCCGCGCCCTCCCGGCCTTCCCAACACGTCGCGCCGTGGACCTCTCCCTGGAGCGCGTCCTGGCGATGACCTCCGCGCGACTCCAGCCGTGGCGACGAGAGCCCCCTGCCTCTCCCCCCCACCGGAGGCCACGAGCAGGGCGAAGAGAACAGCAGCCGCGATCCTCGGGTGTGGCCGTGTTGGCTCGGAGCCGCATGGGCCCTGGCGCTGGGGCGTTCTGCGCCCGCTCGACCTTCCACTCTCCTCCAGGCCAGCTGCAACTGGGGGAGCTGTGGTCCTCACCCCCCTGGGGGGCCCATCGATTTCGACGCCCCTCTCGAGGTCGTCGAGGCGGTGGGTTCCCCCAGGGGGGTAAGGGCCACAGCTCCCCCAGTTACGGCTGGTCGGTCCTCCCAACGCCCCGCGCCCCACTTCCGCACCCCGCTCCTGATACTTCATTGCGTCCATGTGCAACCGGCCCTGCCGCCTCGCGCTTGCGGCTCTCCTGGCTCTGTCGGCCGAGGGTCTCTCCCTGGCTTCCTCGGGCACCGCCGCTCAGAGGAGGCAAGACCGCGCAAATGACGGCCACGACAAGGGTGGCCACGCTGCGGACGGCGCCGGGAAGGACGGGCTCACTCCGAAGCAGCGGGAGAGGGCTCACCTGGCGAGGTTCGAGAAGGATTTCACGGTGGAGCTGAACATGACGGACGCCCAGGCGCATGGCCTGGCAGTGGGCATGCAGCTGGACACGGACACGGACTTCGAGCCTGTCTCGGTCCTGAAGATCCGGAAGAATGGCCTGCTGGAGGTGTGGAACAGGGCGAATCCCGACAGGGCGGTGCACGTGGGCGACGAGATTATGAAGGTCAACGACATCCTGTGGCACCACAACTCGCGCACTTTTGTGGAGCGCATCAAAGGGCAGCTTCAGGCGGCCAAGGAGAGCAGACAGGGCGCCAGACGAGTCGTCACCCTGGCCATCCAGCGCCCGAGGCACCGGCAGGAGGTCCGCTACCAGACGCAGAGGCTGGACCTGCACCAGCACCTGTATTCGAAGGAGTTCGTCGCTAACATGTGATGGCCTTCGGTCCATCCCGCCACCTGGAGGAGGAGGAGGAGGAGGAGGAGGAGGAGGAGGAGGAGGAGGAGGAGGAGGAGGAGGAGGAGGAGGAGGAGGAAGAGGAGGAGAGGAGGGGGAAGAGGAGGAGGAGGAGGGGGTGGAGGAGGCGACCGTCGGGCGCAGGAAGGGCAGGGCAGCACCGCGCGTGCAAGCGAGCGACCGGTTGGCCGCCACGTTCCCGGGCGCCCTGCGCCGCCAGCCCTCGCCGCCGCTGGCGGCGCAGCGCCGCGCTCCGCGCCGCTCGGGCTGCCTTCCCGGGCCATCGCCGCGGAACACCGTCGGGCCCCACCGAGGGCCAGCGGCGCAGGGGCCAATCCAGGCCGCGGGGTGGGAGGAGGAGGAGGAGGAGGAGGAGGAGGAGGAGGAGGAGGAGGAGGAGGAGGAGGAGGAGGAGGAGAAGGAAGAGGAGGAGGAGGAGGAGGAGGAGGAGGAGGCCTTTCGCGTAGAGGAATCTTCTGGGATCGCCTGGGGGCCCTCCTGGAAGCGCTGCAAGGGGAGGCCTCTGCTCCTGCCGCCGACCTCGGCGGCCGTCTCGCAGCGGAGAGCTCCGAGGTCAGTTCGAGCTCCCCTTCTTGGGCCCACCTTGGGGATCCCTGGGGGGTCTCTGGGGCCGCCGAGCTAGAACCAGCAGAAAGCTAGGTCACCGCATGTTTTCCAGTTCGTACGGCCTCCGGGCACCGTCCCGGGCGCCCTCCAGGCACTTGCAATCTTCGAGTGATGTGGGCCTCTTGGGCATGCCTCCGAAGTTTCGAGGCAACCCACAGTTTCCCGAAGGGAGCCCCAGCACGGCCCCAGGGGGCTACCGAGGTTTCCGAAGTTCTCTTCTTTACCTGAGCTTGTCCCATAGGGCTCGTAGTGTCCACGTAAGCTTGGGGCCACTGGGCTGGTGCTGGGGCCTGCCTCGATCTTAGCACTGACAGAGCTTCACTCGTGGGAGTGGTCTTGCTCTTCTGGTGCTGATTCTGATCCAGGCGCGCTCTCTGGAGCCTTCTATTGGCCGGTTGTTCGTACTGCCAGGACTAATTTTAAGTCGGGCGTGTCCCTGGACAGAAGAATATTCAAAACTAGTCAAACATAGTATGGTGTATTATTTGATTTTGTTTCAGTACCAACAAGAATTGATCTATAATTATACATTTATGATTGAAGCACACGGATTCCTATACGACGAACATATGTTTCTTACGTTCTAAAATAGGGCTGTACTTAAAACAAGAGAAACCAGAACAAATTAGCCTGGCGAATGACCCAACCATATGCAGTTGTGAGTAATGCTGGTGTGAGTACCGTCTTCGGTGGATCTCCCTATGGGGCCACGAACCGTTTGAGGGGTGTGTCGAAATGGGTGTGGGGGCGGCATGCGAACGTTGCCACTGGGGCCTTCGGTGGAGCTCCCCATGGTGCCACGAAACGTGTGAGGGGTGCACCGAAGTTGGTGCGGGGGCGGCATGCGAACGCAGCCACTGGGGCCTTCGGTGGAGCTCCCTGTGGGGCCACGAAACGTGTGAGGGATGTGCCGAAATTGGTGTGGGGGCGGCATGCGAACGCAGCCACTGGGGCCTTCGGTGGAGCTCCCTATGGTGCCACGAAACGTGTGAGGGGTGTGCCGAAATGGGTGTGGGGGCGCATGCGAACCCAGTCACTGGGGCCTTCAGTGGAAATCCCCATGGGGCCACGAAACGTGTGAGGGATGTGCCGAAATGGGTGTTGGGGAGGCATACGAACCAGGCCACTGGGGCCTTCGGTGGAGCTCCCTATGGGGCCACGAAACGTGTGAGGGGTGTGCCGAAATGGGTGGTGGGGAGGCATGCGGACCCTGCCACTGGGGCCTTCGGTGGAGCTCCCTATGGGGCCACGAAACGTGTGAGGGGTGTGCCGAAATGGGTGGTGGGGAGGCATGGGACCCTGCCACTGGGGCCTTCGGTGGAGCTCCCTATGGGGCCACGAAACGATTGAGGGGTGTGCCGAAATGCTGGTGGGGAGGCATGCGGACCCTGCCACTGAAGGTACTTATGGGGCCACGAACGTGTGAGGGGTGTGCCGAAATGGGTGGTGGGGAGGCATGCGACGCAGCCACTGGGGCCTTCGGTGGAGCTCCCTATGGGGCCACGAAACGTGTGAGGGGTGTGCCGAAATGGGTGGTGGGGAGGCATGCGGACCCTGCCACTGGGGCCTTCGGTGGAGCTCCCTATCACCGTGTGAGGGGTGTATGGGTGGTGGGGAGGGGCCGACGGTGGAGTGGCCACGACGTGTGGGGTGTGCCGAAATGGGTGGTGGGGAGGCATGCGGACCCTGCCACTGGGGCCTTCGGTGGAGCTCCCTATGGGGCCACGAAGCGTGTGAGGGGTGTGCCGAAATGGGTGGTGGGGAGGCATGCGACCCTGCCACTGGGGCCTTCGGTGGAGCTCCCTATGGGGCCACGAAACGTGTGAGGGGTGTGCCGAAATGGGTGGTGGGGAGGCATGCGGACCCTGCCACTGGGGCCTTCGGTGGAGCTCCCTATGGGGCCACGAAACGTGTGAGGGGTGTGCCGAAATGGGTGGTGCATGCGGGGCAGCCACTGGGGCCTTCGGTGGAGCTCCCTATGGGGCCACGAAACGTGTGAGGGGTGTGCCGAAATGGGTGGTGGGGAGGCATGCGGACCCTGCCACTGGGGCCTTCGTGGAGCTCCCTATGGGGCCACGAACGTGTGAGGGGTGTGCCGAAATCGGTGGTGGTGATGATGATGATGATGATGATGATGATGATGATGATGATGATGATGATGATGATGATGATGATGATGATGATGATGATGATGATGATGATGATGATGATGGGAGGGAGGGGGGGGGAGGAGGAGGAGAAGAGGAACGCGGAGCACCGTCTCTTCAAAACGAGGACCCAACACCACAGGATGGTTGGGAAAAACAGAACAACCATAATAACCATAATGTGGTTTTCTGTTTTGTCTGGTTCTGCGCGGCTCAACCAGAAAAGCCAGAGCAACCAGAATCTGGTTATTATGATGATTCTGGTTATTCTGGTTATTCGGGTTTTCCCGATGAATCCCTTGCTGGACCAGATCCTCCAATCCTGGTTTTTCTGGTTATTCTGGTTGAGCGCCGCGCAGCCAGAATATCTAGAAAACCAGAACCAGCACCCGCATCCATCAGCTGGCTAGGTGAGGAGCATAAAAACAAGACAAACCAGAATAACCAGAAAAAAACTAGAATAACCAGAATCTGTTTTTCTGGTTCTTCTGGTTCTGCGCGGCTCAACCAGAATTTAGAGATATGCGGGGACCTCGCGGATATTGAAGGATTTGGCGAAAGTGTACCGCCGATTTTGGTTGCTGGCTGGGTTCCCGGGTTCCCGGTTCTGGGTTCCCAGGTTCCCGGTTCTGGGTTCCGGGCCGATTTTGGAGGGCGGCGAGGTTCCCGGGTTCCCCGGTTCCTGGTCGATCTTCTTATCGATCGGTCTCACCATCGATCTCATTACCCACTTCGCTATCGATCTCACCATCGATCTCACAATCGATCTCACTATCGATCTCACAAGCGATCTCACAAGAGATCGCATGAGCGATCTCGCGATCGATCTCACTATCAGTCTCATTGAATCGATTTCACTCTCGGTCTCACGATCGACCTTACATTCGTCCTCAGTATCGGTTCCACTGTCGATCTCATTATCGATCTCGCAGTCGATCTCAAGATCCATCGTATTAATTTTCAAATCATCCACTGATCGGGTTTTCTCCGGCGTAATATCAGTCCTGGCGCACCCTTTGCCATATGATCCTGGAAGCGGCGGCTTGGGATCTCGGCGGTTTGGGAGTCGGTCTCGCGGCGGCCATGTGTGTCTACATCGGATCTCATGGCCAGGAACTACAGCTATGTTTTGTTTGTGGCCATTTGTTTTAGATATATCCCCATAGAAAGAATCTTACCGCGTGGGAGATGAATCCATTTGCGTAGGATTGCCCGGTCGCTACATCCATCGCATCCTATCGCCTGGGGGCTACAGGCGCCTCCTGATGCCTCCTCCCCCTCCTCCACACCTTGGAGTCCAGAAATGGTCGAAAACCGTTCCAGGACGACTTTCCTGCAGCGGGAGGGGGGACCTTGTGAGGACAGATCGAGATGTTGAAGATCTTTGTTCACTCGCAGCCAGGGCTCTTCATCTGATCATTTAGATTATTTTTGGGAATGTATGTCGGGGGGAGTTGGAGGAGTCGGTTTGGCCAGTTTGGGCTCTGAGAGTCCCTTTGGCAAATGCCAGACTTGTCCAAGAGCTCCAGCGAATTGTTTGTCTGGGTTCTCCTGAACCCAACTCCCGGTATGTGTGTGTGTGTGCTCCACCACTTGCTGAGGGTACGGCGGCGGATCTCCTTGGAGCGAGGCCACGAGATGGGCTGGGAGCTAAATACTACCGTCGACTGGGTGCCGGTGTCCGTCCAGAAGCTTCAGAACACGGGCCTGGTGGCCCTCTGGAACCAGGAGCACCCCGAATTCCGGATCTACCCTGGTGATGAGATCCTCAGGGTGAACCACATCGAGTGGCACCACAACTCGAAAGCGTTTGAGGGCCGCATTCTGTCGCAGCTCCGCCACGTGAAACAGAAGAGGCCCATGTCCTTGCACATCAGGAGACCCAGGTCGGTGGTCGAGGAGGTGGAGAACAGGTCCTTCGACAGGTTCTTCTCCGTGACCCTGCCCTGGACCGACGAGATGTTGCCCCTTGGCTGCCTGCAGAGCGACACCATGGACCCCGCCGGCGGTGGCAGCGCCATCCGTGCCTGGAACGAGGCGAACCCCGCGAAGAGGCTGGCCGTCGGCGACTGCATCCTCGGGGTGAACCGCGAGCGGTCGCGCCCCGGCGATGCCGGCTCCAAGTACAGGTTGGGTGCTGTCAGAAGTGCCCCTGGCCCAAGGTGCCCCCAGCCTTCCGCTCCACTTTTGGGGCCTCTTGGGGCCATCTGGGCCACGTGCCACCCCAAGCATCGGGCCGGACGAGAGGGGGGGATAGGGGAACCTGCTGCATGCAGCTGGTTTCGGCCCCACCGATGGGGCCCGTTCCTGGATACCTGGCCCGGGAGGCGCCGGGAAAATCGGCGACGTGAGCGGATTCTCAAACCACCTCTTTGCTATCCCCCCTTTCGCCTAGACTGCCTAGACCGAGATGGGGGCCCAAAGAACATACACCACCACCACCACGTCGATGCCTCCTCCCTCCTCTTTCCAGCGTGAGGGAGGGGCGGAGGGAGGTGGTGGTGGCCTATATTTTTGGCCCCCCCTACGAGAGGGTCCCGGGGACACCTTGGGCCAGGGGCACTCCTGGCAGAACGCCCGAAGCAGGTTCGTGGATGCGGCCGGGCCGCGCGCGGGGGGCTCGCGGCGCCCACACAGCCTCACGATGCTCGTCTCTCGATCCACCGGCTTCTCCTACACCAGGGGCCGTCGGGAGGGGAAAAGCACACAGACACCATCCCAGAGATCCCACGTATCGAAAAAATATAGCCCGAGGTTTTTCGCAATTTTCGGCCTCTGGGGGCCCTCGCTGGGCCCCGGGACTGACAAACAACGATTCAGGATGAGAAGCCGGCCCTGGGGAATGGGTCGAGACTTCGGGGGACCGCGTATTGAAAAAGTCACGACATCGGATCTCTGGGATTTATCGTCGATTCCCACGAAAATATGGGAAGCGGGGGGGAAGACAAAAACCCGGAAAGTAGGGGAAACTAGGGAGAATCCTATAATCTGTGTCCATGTATTCGTGTGTCCCAGGGCCCCTTCAGGCTGGCTGGCAGAGGTCCCCGCGCGCGTCGGCCAGAGCCTGGGCCTGCAGACGAATGCGACCGATGACGGGTTCCCGGTCACGATCCAGAAGATCCGCGCGCTCGGGGCGGTTGCCGTCTTCAACGAGGACCACCCCGAGGATGCCCTGGCCGTTGGGGACCAGATCTTCAAGGTCAACGACGTCCTGTGGCGGAGCGACTCCCGCGAGTTCCAGAGGCGCCTGCAGGAGCAGTTCGCGCGGTCCCGGCGGAGCGGCACGGTGCGCCTGTGGGTGCAGAGGCCCGCCGGTGTGGACCCGGGCGCCGAGGGCAGCGAGGACTACATGGAGTTCTCCGTCGAGCTGCCCGTCACGTCGTCCGCTTAGCCTTGGCATCGCTCGGACGTGTGCCTTTTTCCTGCGGCGAAGACCATCGAGGAGCATCCTTGATCATTTGGCGAAACAACCACGCACAAGACCGAAAACAGCACAGGGAAGGGACGTCCGAGCGATGGCCAGTAGCTGCCTCGGTGCGCCCGCTGCTCCTACGCGGCGCGTGCCGTGCTCAAAATATTCCGTGCCGTCACGCTGCGTGTTGGCTCGGCGCGCGCTGGCCCGCGCTGGGGAGCACGTCTCCCGCCAGGCCTGTATGCTTTCAGTCTGCGTGCTGATCTCCGTAGCCATGCGCTGCGTGCTGCGTGTTGCGCATCGGGGCAGCTGAGGTCATCCAAACCCATGGGCTGGGATTTCGATATCACAAACAAGCAGGCGCCGGTCTCCATCCGCATCGTCTTCGGGTTCGGTACCGTGAGCGACTGGAATAGGGACAACCCGATGAAGGACATCCAGGCCGGGGACATTATCATGCAGGTCGGCGACAACATCTGGCACAACAACACGCACGAGTTCATGCAACGCTTCAATAAGCAGTTGTCGACCGCCGCCGCCACCAGCCGCAAGGGAGGAAAGGGTACCCTCTGGATGCAGATCCGCAGGCCCTTCCGCGCACCCTCGCGCACTATGTCAGAGGGGAAGGAGAAGCTCGGAGAGGGCGACGTGTTTGGCGCCGAAGAGTAAGGTCTCAATGTTAGATTCGTGACGGCAGCGCGCGCGCTCGCTCAATGTTAGATGCGTGACGGCAGTGTGCGCCCTCGTTATGCTTGCTCCCACTGCCCACCTTTGTAATGTCTCTTCCTCCTCCTGCTGTCCCACTCTCCCCGCACTCCCCTTGCCATAGTGGGGAGCTTCTGTCACGTTGTTGGCCAGCTCTTCTGGCGCACGGTAAGCCTTGTGATGCGACAGGTATGCGATTGGCATGGCTGTGGGCACAATCTCGATGAGCGGGGCCGTGCGGCATTTTGCGAGGCATTTTGTTGCGTCCAGGCTTCTCCTGATGGCGAGGTCTGCCAGCAGCGAAACAAAGATCACGCGCACGCACACACGCAGACACACACACACACACACACACATGGAGGATCTCCAGAGCGCGCACTGCGGAAGCGCTCGTGACACGAGGACGGCCTTGCGACCGCAGGGGGGGTGTCACCACCCACCGACCCGCCCCCCCACCCAACCCGAAGCCCCCATTTGCCTTTCTTCCCAGTGGGGGAGGGGTCAGGACACGTTCAGAATAAAAACATATGAAGCACGTCCCCCCCCCTCCCGAAATTCGGGTCTTCGGGTTGGGTTGGGGTGGTCTGGCAGGTAGTTAGAGGGGGGGATAGTCGTGCACGTGGCCTGGCGCGCACGTCCTGCTCCATTGGGAAGGAGGGCAAATGGGGGCTTCGGGTCCCGAGGCCCCCATTTGCCCTCCTTCCCAATGGAGGAGGGGCCAGGAAACATTGAGAACAGAAACATAGGAAGCCCGTACCCCCCCCACACCCCTCCCGAAAGTCGGGTCTTCGGGTTGGGTTGGGGGTGGCCTGGCAGGCAGTCGGGGGGGGTTCACCACACACCAAACTACCCCAACCCAACCCGAAGGTCCCCGTTTGCCCTTCATTTCCAGTGGGGGGGGGGGCCGGGGAACCGTGACAAAAACACATCTGGAGCCCGTACCTCCCCCCCCTCCCGAAATTCGGGTCTTCGGGTTGGGTTGGGGTGGTCTGGCAGGCAGTCAGAGGGGGGGAGAGTCGTGCACGTGGCCTGGCGCGCACGTCCTGCCGGGGCTCCCGCGTCTGAGGGACTCCTCCTCCTCCTCCTCCTCCTCCTCCTCCTCCTCCTCCTCCTCCTCCTCCTCCTCCTCCTCCTCGTCCTCCACCTCGTCCTCCTCCTCCTCTTCCTCCTCGTCGTCGTCGTCCTCCTCCTCCTCCTCTCCTCCTCCTCCTCCTCCTCCTCCTCCTCCTCCTCCTCCTCCTCCTCCTCCTCCCCCCCCGCCCGTGGCCACCGCCAGTGCTAGACATCGGGCACGCCCCCCTACAGGGAGGGCGATTCAGGAATCGTAAGACACACATTCCAAATCCCTCATTCATCGACCCCCCCCTCAGAGAAACGGGACTCCCCTCTGAATGCGACGTGATATTCCGGACCGCCCTCTTCGCGCCTTGATAAGATGGGCGCCCTAAGCTCCAATCCGAAGAAAGCGCCCTGATAAACCGGACCCCCCAAATTACGAAAAAGGCGCCTCAAACAACCGGACCCGGGGAACGATTAAGAAGGGATGTGGAGTACTCTGGGGACATTGCTTCCTACTAGTTGTGATTGCTTTTGCATGTGTTTGGGCCAATGTTACTTTCTCCTTCCAAAGCCCGCCTGGAGGAGGACATGCCCGACCTCACGCCAGTGTTCGGGTCCTCCTGGGGGGGGAGGGGCGCGCCTCGTCGCCTCCCCCTCGCCTGCCCCTCTCCCTGGAAAAGCGGTGGGATCTGCAGCCGACGCGCGCCCCCGCCGGCTCGAAAGCATGAGTCATCGAGCGCGTTCCATGACTCGCGGAGTGCATACTCTTACAAGTCGGGTCTGTCCTTCTACAGGGGGAATCTTCAAAAACAGTCCAACAACAGTCTGGGGGACGATGCTTTGAGTGGTTTTGGGCATTGTTTGAGCATCTTCTGACTATTTGTGATTCTTCGTCCCAAGTCTCCCTGTATGGGGGATAGGCCCGACCCAAGTATACCCGCAAACGTTCGAAAAACACGCGTCTGCCTGGACGCAATGTATCGTGCATCCCCCGCGGCGACTCGGAGCCATTTGCCCGTCGCTACTCTGCGAGTCGTGGAACGCGCTTGTCGAAAGAGGGGGGCGCGACCTCCACGGTCACACGGGCCCGAGCACCGGGAGGGAGGCGCGCAGGCCGTCCCCGAGGCCCGACGCGTGGCGACGAGAACCGCAGCATCGCACAAGATCACGCCCGGCGCCCTGGACCCCCACAGGGGGCGAGCGAGCAACACACACACACACATTCACACACTTACGCACACATTCACAAACACGCACACGCACGCACGCACGCACGCACGCACGCACGCACACACACACACACCATACCCAAGAGGCGGACGTGATCTCCCGACCACGGGCGAGGAAGAAGAAGGGCCATACGGGCAGCCCGCACAGGAAGGATGGGCCACCTGCCCGAGGATACCCTTGCATCTTTGCCTCCTCGGTCCGTCCTTGGCCGCTTTCGCTGGCCAGCCTCGTCCGAAAAGCTTTAGCGTGGCCCTCGGAGGCCGTTGCACCCTTACCGCGCATCCTTATCAAGCGTGCTGACTGTAGGCATGAAGTTTTGACGCTCCGCCTGGTGCTCCAAACGTGGATGTTCATGCCGTTGTCCTTCCCCTACGCAGTCCAGCGGGCTGTCTCGGCACGTCTGAAGCCTCGCTGGCCCACCTCCAGCGGGGTCCCGAAGATCGTGCCGGGGCCTACCAGGCGGGAGCCACATCCAGGGATGTAGGCACCTTCTCACTGCTCTGCGCTGGCGCGCCGACTCACGAGCGCGCGACTGTTTCCAAACAGCCTTCACTCAGCGCGAAGCCTCGCGATCTCTCTGGCGTTGCAACGGGAGGCGCGCACACGCGCAGCACACTCTCTGGCGTCGCGGCCGCGCGCGCAGCGACGCGGCGGATGCAGTCACAGAAGCGCCCAGGACGCTGCCGAGGCCACAGATGACGAACGAACACCACACACACACCCATACCCATAGGGGGGACGGACGGGGCTACGGGTGCGGGTTGTCGAACGGGGGTCCCCGCTCGAACGGGAGCCTTCCCAGGGGTCCGACAACCCGCACCCGTGCTCATAGCCAGTCCTCCTCCCTCCGACCTCCCTGTGGGCATGGGTGTGTGTGTGTGTGTGTGATTTGTTTTTTTCGTCATCAGACCCTGAGATCCGACGTGGCGAAGAAAATGGAACATCGTAAAAGATCACGCCCGGAGTCCTACACCCGACCTTTCTGCGCCATTTGTTTTTCGAGCCGCATCGATCCGCAAGGGTCCCGGGGCCCGAAGAGGGGCGAAGACGCCCAGCTCGAAAACATTGCGACGCCAGGATCTCGGGGCTCCCCCCCCCGCCCCGCACGGACCCCCCCGAGCGGCGACGCGACCGGGGTCGCTCGCCCACGGGGGACGGCGGGAGCCACCCCGCGCTGTGCAGGCGCCCCCCGGCGGGCGCGCGCCCGCCGCCGCCCCAGCGCCGGCGCGCCGGCGCCCCCGGCGGGGTAAGCCCTGATAGGCTCTGGTCGGCGGCGCGACGCCAGGGTCTCAGGCCAAGAGCGGCGCTGGGGAGGCACGCGGCCCCGGCGCGGAGCACGGGGCTCCAGCCGCGCAGGGAGCCGCACCGCGCGGGCGTCTCGCGGGGGGCATATATGGGTGTGCCGCCGAGGGTCGCCGAGCGCGTGCCACTGCTCGCAGAGGGCCCGCTCGTGGGCGTCTGAGGAAGAAGCCTCTGCCTCGGTGTGATGGATCGCAGGCCCCCCTCGGCGGATCCAGGCCATTTGCGAGCAGTTCTTCTGCGAGCACGTGGGACGCGCTTGTCCAGAGGGGGGGCGACGAGCCAGCGAGGCCACCGGCGAGGCGGCCTCGGCCCTGGGCCTCCGAGGCTGTGATCCTGTTTTGCCCTGGGGGCAGATTTCCTGTAACTGCTCTGCAGTGCTCCAGGCTGAAGTCGGCGTGCCCCTCTACAGAAGGAATATCCAAAGATAGTCAACCAAAATAGTCAGGGGACGATTGTCCTATAATTTTTCGACTAAGTTTGAATATCTTTTCACTCTTTTTTATTCTTCGCCCAGAATCCGCCTGTAGGAGAACATGCCGGACCTAACTCTAGGCCTCCCAGATTAGGTCGGTATAGATGGGGTCGGAGGGTCGCGTCGTATCGCCGATGCATCGGCGGTGCGGTTCAATGCGCAGCCCGATTTTCTTCGCGCCGCCGTGGCCGATGCGTTGCTGACGTCGGCGATGCATCGCCGATGCATCGCCGATGCATCCCCGATGCATTAGCGATGCGGCAAGATCTTCCGACCCCATCTACTCGGACCCCATCGAGGAGGCCTGTAAATACGATTCAGGAGCAACGATAGGGGGGGGGAACGGGCATGAGAGGGAATACATCTACCCCACTTGCTCATTGATCGCCGATCGGGGCCCGATGGCCCCAACCTGCCCAGTAACGTTCGGATTCAGTATCGCGGGCCTGTCGCCGTTCTATCGGCGATGCATCGCCGATTCCAAGTCGATGCGTCCCCCCCCGTGCCAGTCCCCCCCCCTGCCGTTGCCCCTCACTCACGGCTACGATACGTCAGAGGTTCGGCGCCTCACGCGTTAGGACTTGAGGCCGTGGCTACGCCTTCCCATGCGCCAAGTCCCGTCAATCCGGGCGAAGTTCCTCGATTTCGGCCTCCAGGGCCTGTTTTTGAGCCCGCGAGAAGGCGCAGAAGGCACCCCGGGGACTGAAGAAATTAGGTCGGAGGAGGTCTGGGGAGGAAGGGGGGGGGGAGCAGAGGGACAGCGCACGGGGGCGCTCCACGCTGGCCAGGAACGGGCCTCGAGGGGTCGGCGAGCACGTCGCAGCGAGGAATGGCGGATCTGTCGGGAGGATCGCGAGCCTGCACGGCGGTGGAGGGAGGTGGTCAGACGCGGGAGCGAGGGCTCGAGCGTCGGGCTCGCAGGGGGGGGGGCAGCAGCAGCTGGCGGCCAGCGGGCAGGTGGGCCCCCCCTCCCCCTTCCCCTCCCCTCCTCCTCCCCCTCCTCCCTCTCCTCCTCCCTCTCCTCCTCCTCCTCCTCCTCCTCCTCCTCCTCCTCCTCCTCCTCCTCCTCCTCCTCCTCCTCCTCCTCCTCCTCCTCCTCCTCCTCTGTCTCCTCCTGCTCCTCCTCCTCCTCCTCCTCCTCCTCCTGCAAGCGCCCGCTCTCCTGGGGGTGGCACTGCGGGGCTCCAGAGGGTTGCGCTGCGCTTGGCTGGCCCGCCGTGGCCACTTCGTTCACCGGACCCGGTCGCGGCGTCTAGGGGGACGTGGATCTCGTTCCCTTCCGCCCCTCTGGAGGATTGGACGCTTGTCCCCCCGCAGTGTCCCCCGTCCGTTGGTGCCCTGCCATGCGGCCAGGCTTGCCGTTAGGATGTAGCGACCGAAGCTGTGCCCGAAAATCTGCCAGCGTGCGACCGAATCCGGCGTCTTAATTGTGTCCGAAGGCGACCTCGTTCTGGGCCACACTTTCTCGCCGCCGGTCTGTGCCTACGGCCCACACCCATATGCCCCCCGCGAGACGCCCGCGCGGTGCGGCTCCCTGCGCGGCTGGAGCCCCGTGCTCCGCGACGGGGCCGCGTGCCTCCCCAGCGCCGCTCTTGGCCTGAGACCCTGGCGTCGCGCCGCCGACCAGAGCCTATCAGGGCTCACCCCGCCGGGGGCGCCGGCGCGCCGGCGCTGGGGCGGCGGCGGGCGCGCGCCCGCCGGGGGGCGCCTGCACAGCGCGGGGTGGCTCCCGCCGTCCCCCGTGGGCGAGCGACCCCGGTCGCGTCGCCGCTCGGGGGGGTCCGTGCGGGGCGGGGGGGGGAGCCCCGAGATCCTGGCGTCGCAATGTTTTCGAGCTGGGCGTCTTCGCCCCTCTTCGGGCCCCGGGACCCTTGCGGATCGATGCGGCTCGAAAAACAAATGGCGCAGAAAGGTCGGGTGTAGGACTCCGGGCGTGATCTTTTACGATGTTCCATTTTCTTCGCCACGTCGGATCTCAGGGTCTGATGACGAAAAAAACAAATCACACACACACACACACACACCCATGCCCACAGGGAGGTCGGAGGGAGGAGGACTGGCTATGAGCATGGGTGCGGGTTGTCGGACCCCTGGGAAGGCTCCCGTTCGAGCGGGGACCCCCGTTCGACAACCCGCACCCATAGCCCCGTCCGTCCCCCCTATGGGTATGGGTGTGTGTGTGGTGTTCGTTCGTCATCTGTGGCCTCGGCAGCGTCCTGGGCGCTTCTGTGACTGCATCCGCCGCGTCGCTGCGCGCGCGGCCGCGACGCCAGAGAGTGTGCTGCGCGTGTGTGCGCCTCCCGTTTGCAACGCCAGAGAGATCGCGAGGCTTCGCGCCGAGAGAAGGCTGAGTTGGAAAACAGTCGCGCGCTCGTGAGTCGGCGCGCCAGCGCAGAGCAGTGAGAAGGTGCCTACATCCCTGGATGTGGCTCCCGCCTGGTAGGCCCCGGCACGATCTTCGGGGCCCCGCTGGAGGTGGGCCAGCGAGGCTTCAGACGTGCCGAGACAGCCCGCTGGACTGCGTAGCGGAAGGACAAGGGCGCAAACATAAATCAAAAGTTTTATGTCTGCAGTCAGCACGCACCCATAGGCCCCGTCCGTCCCCCGTATGGGTATGGATGTGTGCTGTTCGTTCGTCACCTGGGGCCGTGTCAAAAAGGGCCTTGCCATCAAGCACCGAAGGAGGTGGCATCGCTTCCGCGGTGGACGGCGGCGGAAGGTCGGCGGAAGGTCGGCGGAAGCAAACGAGGCTGCCTCCGCCGGCGGAAGCTGGGCAGAAGGCGGGGGAGGTGAAAGATGTGCCCTCGAAAGATGGAAGCAATTCTGGGTTCGAGGTTTCCGAAATCGCCCCCGCCTGTGGGGGTCTAGGGCTCCGGGCATGATCTTCTACGGCGCTGCAGTGTCTGTCCCCACGTCGGGCCTCGGGGATCGTCTGGGCGCGCCGAGCGGTGTGGGCCTCCGCCCTCCTGTGAGCGGCACCTTTGCTCGAAGAGGAAAAATGCCATAAACATAAACTGCTGGCTCTCCGCGCGGATTTCTTGGATCCGCGCTGGCCCTCCCCCCCCCCCCAGCGGCGCCTCCTGCGCCGCCCCTGGTGCGCTCCGCGCGCCAGGGAGGGGGGTCCAGCGCAGGTCCACGAAGTCCGCGGGGAGCGCCAACAGGTCATGCTTCTATGGCGTTCGTCCTTCCTCCATATTTGCCCGTCGGCTTGAGGTGGAGGCATGCCGCGAGAGTAGCGTGCTGGGCCCAGACCCCCGACGTCGTGATGTTTCCATGGCGTGGGCCCCCAGAGAGGTTCAGGAGGGAAAAAAAACACAGACACAATTAATCGTCGATCCCAATGAAAATATGGGAAAAAATGAGAAGTGGGGGGGAAGACAGAAACCCAGAAAGTATGGGAAAATATGGGGAATCTTTTTACTTGTGTGTATTTATTTGTGTTTCCCATGGCCCCTTCAGAGGCCTCGACCCGCTGTCCGGTGGCCGGCTCTCCACATCCCGAGCCGCTGCCGGCGGCCCCGGCGAGGCCCGGCAGAGGCCGAATAGCAGAGCAACGGAGCTGCGCGTCGTGGTCTCTGTCGCGGCCAGGAGGGGAGCTGGTTCTCGGGCGCCCACGGCTGAGCAGTTTCTTGGGGTGTAGGGCTCCTCCTCCTCCTCCTCCCTCCTCCTCCTCCTCCTCCTCCTCCTCCTCCTCCTCCCTCCTCCTCCTCCTCCCTCCTCCTTCTCTCCTCCTCCTCCTCCTCCTCCTCCTCCTCCTCCTCCTCCCCCTCCTCCTCCTCCTCCTCCTCAAGATCCATCCGTCTTGTGATTCACCTTTTTGCAGATGCAAGCCTCGAAAACCCATCGACACGGCACTTCCGAGTTTCACCCTTTGCCCTCCACCCAAAGGAATGCTCAGCACGAGTGGCACCGATGCTAGGATGCGACTCCTTGGAGGTTCGATTGTGAATTGGCGCTGGTATATCCCTGGTCGATGACTGGCCTAACCCGGTCCAGTCCCTCTTGATTTAGCCGGGTTCCGCTTCACATGGCAAGCTCCTGGGCTCAGTCAGGCCCCATCCGGCGCACTGTCTCTTGAACATCGGGCCCGACCCTGAGATCCGACGTCTCGAGACGTGCAGCAGCGTCAAAGCATCCCGACCAGAGTCCTGGACCCCCTCGCCCCGCGCCATTCTTCGAGGCGCATCGATCCGTGAGGGTTCAGCAGTCGGGCGTGTCCCTCTACAGGAGAAAAATTCAGCAATAGTCAAGACACAGCCAGGGAACGATTTTGTGAGGATTTGTTTGAGCATGTTTGGTGTATTTTCTGACTATGTTGGATTTTTCGTCCCAGATCCGCCCGTATGGGGGACATGCCCAACACAACGTGAGGGTCCTGGGGCGGGCCCGAACCTGGGCGAAGCCGCCGGGCTCGAAGAAGCCCGACGCCAGGATCTCAGGGGATAGCCCTCAAGGTGATAACTTTTTTCCTTCTTGTTTTGCTGATCGGCGCGGGCCCTCGCACCTTCCCCCTTCCCGCCTCTGCAGCAGAGCTCGGCGGTTCTATGGCGCCTGTTCTTCGAGCAGGCAGAGTCTTCCCCATCTAGGACGCACTGCTGCAGACAGTCCCATGAAGCACATGTCCGGGGTCAGACCCCCCCCCCCCCTCCCCCCTCCGCCCAATGTCGAAGCGCCGACTTCGGCGTTTCTTTATTATTGCAAAAACGTTCACAATCGCTTTTGCCGAGGATCAGGACGGGAAAAACGCACAGACACAATGAATCGTCAACTCCCAGGAACAACATGGGAAGATATGGGAAGTCGGGGGGCAGACGAGCCCCGAGAGTATGGGGGAAATCCTGGGCTGAGTGCGTGTAGATGTATTTGTGTGCCCCAGGCTCCCTTGCAGAGGATGTCCCAGGAGGTGCCTCCTCTGGCGGACGGGGGCCCCGCCTCCGCGCCCTGGCGGGAGCGGTCTTACGTCATCCCGTGGTTCACGCCCGAAGTGGTTTTGTTGGCTGTCGACTGTTGTTTCTTGTCTGCTGCCGTCGCCCTCGCGTGCCACCCGCGTGCGACCTGCACGCGACCCGGAGGGGGCGTGGGAGGGAGTCGACCGACGAGGGAGGAGGAGGGACGGGAGAGGACGGAGCGCGAGAGAGTGGAGAGGAGAGAGCTCGAGAGGAGTCTCCCGAAGTCTCGACCCATTCCCCAGGACCGGTTTTTCATCCGGAGTCGTTTTTTGACGGTCCCGGGGACCGGCGAGGGCCCTTGGAGGCCGAAAGTCGAGAAAAACCTCCATCTGATTTTTTCAACGCGTTGGATCTCTGGGGAGCTGCCTCCTCTGGCCGACGGGGGCCTCGCCTCCGCGCCCTGGCGGGGGCACGCCCCCTCCTCCCCGGGGGGCCGGCCGCGCCAGGTGAAGAGAGTGGAGCGAGTGAGGATAGAGTGGAGTGGAAAGTGGGGAGCGAGTGAGTAGAGTGGAGGAAAAGAGAGAGAGAGAGAGAAAGAGGAAGCGATTGAGGAGAGAGTGGAGAATGGAGAGGAGAGAGAAAGCGAAGAGGAGTGAGGAGCGAGTGAGGAGTGAGGAGCTGAAAAGCCCCGACATGCGACGTCCCCCTGGAAATCCCGACCCTTTCCTCGGGACCGGTTTTTCGTCCTGAGTCGACTCAGGACGAACAAAACTATCCTTTTTTGGCTGCCCCGGGGCGGCCGAAAATGGCCAAACACCTCCCGCCCTGATCTTCTGTTTGCGACGCGATCATGTCTGGGAGTGGAGAGGAGAGGGCTCGAGAAGAGCGAGGGGGCCCGACCCCCCCCCCCCCGCGGGGGGCCAGCCGCGCCTGCCGCCGCAGGAGCCCCCCCGCAGGCCGTCGCCCGACCGGGCCGACGACGGGGGCGACTGGGCGCCGGCGCGGGGCTCGGCTGCCGCGGGCCCGCCGGGGGCTCGGAGGAGGAGAGGAGGAGGAGGAGGAGGAGGAGGAGGAGGAGGAGGAGGAGGAGGAGGAGGAGGAGGAGGAGGAGGAGGAGGAGGAGGAGGAGGAGAGGAGGAGGAGGAGGAGTGGAGAGGAGGAGGGAGGAGGAGGAGGAGGAGGGGGAGGAGGAGGAGGAGGAGGATCGGATCGACTCGGCAGGAGGACGCGTCATGCATCGCAGCGCCGTCTGGGGCGCGCCCGTGTGGCGCGCCACAAGGAGGAGTTAAGACTCAAAAACAGTTTCTGAGCATGCAGCCTCCAAGGGCTGCACACTCTAAAAAGCCACCACGATCCCCATCCAACCACCCACATGGGGCCTCGCTGAGGCCCCATGGATCAGTGCCAGGCAAAATACAATAAGTAAAAAAATAAACCAGGTGCCTCCTCCTCCTCCTCCTCCTCCTCTTCTTCCTCCCACACCGGCCTTGCGGTGCTCGAAATTCTGGAAGGCATGTAGGAAGAGGGCCTGGGGCGGAGGGCACTGGCCTGCGGCGGAGACCTTGCCGCTTCGCCGCCGCTGCCCCACCCGTTGGTCTTCCTGAACTCTCCCCCCCATTCCCCGTCCCAAGTCAAGTGCAAGGACATCCTCCTGTGCACAGTCGGCTAAATATTCGAACGATACCTGCGGCGCAGCCACGTGTATGAGCTGTGAGTAGTAAGTGTATGTGTGTGTGTGTGTTCTACGGTAGGTGTCCTCAAAGGGCCTCCGACGACATCATTGGCTCGGCACTAGCCAATATCTGATGTCATTGGGCCCGTACGTGGCTGCTGCCGCTGATGTTGCTGCTGGCACACGTGTTGACTGCGAAGCAAGCTCTGGAAACAAAACTCCTTCTTCTGGCAATGTTATGCGCAACTGGGCTTGCCGTCGTGCCTTGAGGCGGACAGCTGCCTCCTGTCTGTTACGCTCTATGCGCTCGCGCTGCTCTACAGTGAGGCTGGGAGGGCGAGGAGGAGGTGGAGGAGGAGAAGACTGGGATGCATAGCTTGCCTCCGAATGTTGAGACCCAATAAAGGTATGATCCTCGAAATGCGGATCGACCTGCCCAAGACTCTCCTCATTGGGGTGTAAAATGCCTCGCAGTCTACTGAACGCAGTGGGCTTTCGGCCTTTCTTGGCCACGGCGAAATCTGGTCCGAAAAGCGGGCGACCACTTTCATCATCAAACTGCGATGGCACAAAAAACTGTAACAATGAGGGGTCTGGTGGGTCGGGTTCCATGTATGTGTCCATATCCGCTGCTAACAAAATGTGGTCGAGCATCGCTCTGCCTATTGCACTGCACATGCTGGCTGGATACACTTTCTTTGCTGCCGTGCGAAACTCTCCCGACTCCTTTTTGCCGGTGAGTGTGACATGCGTGCCTCCCGGATGTGAACAAAAGCCTCGACCAGGGGTGTCTAGAAGATGCTCTCTCATCGTGGGCAATCTGGCCGATAGAATGCCTGTGGGTGCGCGGCCAATCTGGCCATGCTCACACTGGTCAACAATGACGAAATCTGAGGCTGGGGCTGCTCTGACTGCTTGCAAAGGGCGAAATGACCACGATGGCACTGCCTGGGGTCTCCACTCCGCAGGCGCCGGATGCTCCATCCAGGCTGCGGCTCGACACCTCAGCGCTGCGATGAGCAGGCGGACAGTCGCCTGCAACAGTAGGTTCCCAACCTCCAACTGTAGATGTTGCCTCTGTGTGATGGGTGTCATTCCCCAAGGCTGCTGCCAACTGCGCAATGGGGGGGGGCCTCCTTCTAACCAGCGAGACGCACTGAAGGTTTCACATGGGCCCCCCCCTCCTAAAACTGCAATTCGGCCTGCAAGGAGATGATTTTCCCACAGATCGATAGTGAGCGTGTGAGTCAAGTCCCCTCGGACCAATGACGACATCTAAACTTAAAGCCCAAATGTCAAGGTCGCTCGTGTTTGTCCGATGGAGCACCTCGACAGCATCCTGGACGTCGCCTGCTCTTCGGACTCCACTAAACATGTCGACGATAAAAATGGTCCGACGTCTGAACGGGCGGGGATAGATGTCAGCAAAACTACCCTGACACTCCTCGGGATCAAACGGAAAGTCCAGAAACCAGTCAGGGACATCTGGAGCAGCGGGAGGTGGAGGTACAGGAGGAGGAGGAGGAGGGGGTCTCCCGACGTAGAAGTCATGCTGATCCCTTAACAACTGTCGCGCTTCATTCTGAGTATACTGTGCGCGCAACTGTTGGGCCTCTGGCGCACTGTCGCCTGGGGCACACGGAACATTCGCATAGGTACGAGGCCTACCATGAATTCGATTGTCTTTTCGTTCTTGGGCGTCCTGCTCTTGCACAAGTGCGCGCTGCTGCTCATCGATCGGGCGCACATGCAAAACATAATATAATATGCATATTGCACGGTCTCGCTGTACGTTCTGAAACAACATTGTTGTGCTCGCATATTGCTTGCCACATGCCAGGCATTTGCTGCCAGACAAGTGTCGCCGTGCAGTATCGCTGTAGGATGTGTGTGCCCGGGCAATATGTGTATTTCAACTTATTTGAGATGGAAACGTCTTGGCACAAAAAGGGCACTGGGGGTTCGAGAGAGGGGGAGGCGGAGCGGGCTGATCTCGCGCTGAGGGCAAACCTGCATCATGCGCCACTGCCATGATGGTGCGCTCCCAATGCTGTGCTCCAACTCGCCTGGGGACTTCGTTTGCGCATGCCTGCGCAGCTGAACGAATGATGGCTTGCCATCGACGGGGGGCAGAGCGTATAAAAACTGTCCAGTGTTTAAAGTCGGCCACCGGGGTCGGAAACTCTGTGACTTGATGGGCCGAACGCCTAAGCCAGTACATATCATCTTTGACCTGCTCCAGCCACGATGCGGAGTGTGCGGCGCTCTCCGCCACTACCAATGCTAAAAGCATTGGCGGAGCTGCATTCACAACTTGCCCAAAGCCTGAGGCGTGCCACCCGGATCTGGACGAGAGTCTCTGGTCGGCGAGCCCGAGCCAAGATCTGATCATCGGACGGGGATTCGGCCGAACATCTGGGGGCGTTAAGGCTAACACGATATATCTTTAAGATGTCCATGTGTATGCGATGCAAATCGTTTTTCTTCAGTCCCCACCATGCTCCTGCTCCGTACAACCGTGCATTCATGATGAGGCTGTCCGCTAGTGCCAAACGATCTTTTTCAGGTAGATCCCGAGCAACCCGAAAAAGGGAGGGGAGAAGGAGGAGGAGGAGGAGGGGGAGGAGGAGGAGGAGGAGGAGGGAGGAGGAGGAGGAGAGGAGGAGTAGGAGGAGGAGGAGGAGGAGGAGGAGGAGGAGGAGGGGGAGGAGGAGGAGGAGGAAGGAGGAGGAGGAGGAGGAGGAGGAGGAGGAGGAGGGGGAGGAGGAGGAAGAGGAGGAGGAGGAGGAAGAGGAGGAGGAGGAGGAGGAGGAGAGAGGAGGAGGAGGAGGGGAGGAGGAGGAGGGAGGAGGAGGGAGGAGGAGGAGGAGGAGGAGGAGGAGGAGGAGGAGGAGGGGGAGGAGGAGGAGGAGGAGGGAGGAGGGGGAGGAGGAGGAGGAGGAGGAGGGGGAGGAGGAGGAAGAAGAGGCAGGAGAAGGAGGAGGAGGAGGAGGAGAGAGGAGGAAGGAGGAGGAGGAGGAGAAGGAGGAAGGAGGAGGAGGGAGGAGGAGGGAGGAGGAGGAGGAGGAGGAGGAGGAGGAGGAGGAGGAGGAGGAGGAGGAGGAGGAGGAGGGAGAGGAGGAGGCGGAGGAGGAGGAGGAGGAGGAGGAGAGGAGGAGGAGGAGGAGGAGGAGGAGGAGGGAGGAGGGGGAGGGGGAGGAGGAGGAGGAGGAGGAGGAGAGGAGGAGGAGGAGGAGAGGAGGAGGAGGGGGAGGAGGGAGGAGGGAGGAGGGAGGAGGAGGAGGGAGGAGGGAGGAGGGAGGAGGGGGAGGGAGGAGGGGAGGAGGAGGAGGAGGAGGAGGAGGAGGAGGAGGAGGAGGAGGAGGAGGAGGAGGAGGAGGAGGAGGAGGAGGAGGAGGCGAGGAGGAGGAGGAGGAGGAGGGGGAGGGGGAGGAGGAAGGAGGAGAAGGAGGAGGAGGAGGAGGAGAGAGGAGGAGAAAGGAGGAGGAGGAGGAGGAGGAGGAGGAGGAGGAGGAGGAGGAGGAGGTAGGAGGAGGAGGGAGGATGAGGAGGAGGAGGAGGAGGAGGAGGAGGAGGAGGATGATGATGCCGGGCCGACGACGGGGGCGGCCGGGCGCTGGCGCGGGGCTCGGCGGCCGCGGTAGCCCGCCGGGGGGCCTCGAAGGCTCGGGGCCCAGACTGAAAGCAGTGGCGAAGCGCCCTGGCTTCCAAGACATGATCGCGTCGTTAAGAATCATGACGTAGTTGTTTTTTTCTTTTTGCAATTTTCGGCCCCGGGGGGCCCTCGCCGGGCCCCGGGGCAGCCAAACCTACGACTCAGGACGAAAAACCGGTTCCGGGGAAAGGGTCGGGATTTCCAGGGGCGCCGTTCTGAAAAAATCAGGACGTCGCATGTCTGGGTTGCCTATAGACCTACCAAAGAATGCTCTAAGAGAGCGTTTTGTGGTCTGCGCAAGGTGCTCTCATAGTTCTTAGAACATTCGTGGGTTCTGAGAACATCTCGTGGTAGGCCTATAGGAATACCGGGACGGTCGGTCCCTGCTCAACAGACCCCCTCGAGTAAAGAAGTCACGACTCGGGAGGTTTTTTCCGCCATGTTCGGCCTCGGGCCCAGAGATCCAACGCATGGGAAAAAAGCACAATGGATGTTTCCTGAATTGTCGGCCTCTGGGGGCCCTCGCCAGGCCCCATGACCGCCAAAAAACGACTCAGGATGAAAAACTGGTCTTGGGGAAGAGGTCGAGATTCCCGGGGCCGCGTATTGAAAACATCACGACGTCGGATCTCTGGGGGGGGCCTTATACCGGTCCTCGGGGCCGTCGTTTCT